TGTGTGTGTGTGTGTGTGTGTGTGTGTGTGTGTATACATATAGGGTTGAGTTACGGTGAAAAATAGAGTTAAGGTGAGAAACGTAAGAAATGATCTCCATTCTTGGATATACATTAGGATGAGATGCACCAGATCAATTCCCCATGAGAAACGCAATTCATGGGTGGACAAGAGATTAAAAGTGATAAAAGATTCAAATTCGTTCTTACACTTATCACCTAGTTCCAATGAGAAAGAAAATTAAGGTAAGAAACGTAAAACAAGATCTTCACCCTTAGATGCACATTAGGATGAGATACGCCAAGATGGGATGCACTAGATCAGTCTCTGTATCAAACACGATTAATAAATGTGTTTGAGATTAAAGATGATCAAAGATACAGATCCTTTCGCATGTTGACTCTTCTTCTAACACCATACTTTACATATACACACACACACACACACACATATATATATATATATATATATTTATATATACTAGAAGGGTACTCGTACATGCAACGAGATACATCTTGATTTTAATATTTTATTTTATTTTTTATTTCAGTCGATGTTATAATATAGTTTTACGTGATTTTGAAAAAAAATGATGTTTTTATTTTTGAATAAAATATAAATTTAAAGATATCATAAACATTTGACAAAAATATATTGATATTAATATCAAATTAACTATTTAAAATTCCTCATTTTTTGTAACTTTTTGATTCAATTTTTTTAATTATAATTTAATTTATATTCCATAACGAAGTAATTCATATTTGGTTTAATAATATAATTTTCTTATAAACATAACAATTAATTATTTTGTTAGAACTCGATAATTATTCTAATTATATTTTAGATTTTTTATATTTTAAAATGAGATGTTTATCCTCTATTTGATTATGTTTATCTGCAGTTAGTTACATGAATTCAAACATGGAGATTTAATAAATTGTACTTATGCATAATTTACTTGTAATCTTAAATTTTAAGTAATATACATCAATATATAATACTTTATGCATAAAAAATAGTTTTTAAAAGTTTTTGTCAAATATTTTATGATATAGTATAGATATATATATATAATATGTTGTTGGTTTATATATGTGATAAAACATAAAGGTGATTAAATTAAGAGTTATTGCATTGAGTTGGGTATAAATGCCTAAAATATCTACAAGTTGCTGATTAATTAATAATAAAATACGATAATATTTTATGATTCATATTTATTCAGGGGATAATTTACATATATATATATATATATATATATATATATATATATATATAT